GTTAGAGATCATCCATCATGTTTGCTTCAGAGCACTTCCCTTCTAGGTTTTCAAGGAGGAAACAGAAAGAACCAAGGAACACAAACATGCTTTTCTCTCTGTGACTGAAACAACAGATACATGTTCATATTCCTTAGAAAAAACAGTAATTTAGATGAAAAAATGGGGTGCTATTTTTTTTTTTTTCAAATAACTGAAACACAATACTGGGAAAGATGGTGGGAAACTGAAGAAAATAGAATATTTTATCACAGAATGAGCAATAAGGTATTTTAATGGAATATTAAAATCTCTCCAATACTCTACCACAACCTGCAAAATATGATTATTTATGTATAAAAGTATTTGGAATGGCTACTTCCTGAAAAACCCATAACTATCATTCATTAATATTACATCTATAATACATTTCTTAATTTATTTTTTGTTGGTTTGTACATAATTCAGTGAGCAAATTTATTTTTAATAACTGCATATGTTTTATTTCCCCCTAACAGTTGCCAAAGGAAATTTTGAAAGAGAGTTTGATTTTTTTCTGTTTTTTAAGATAGGAGAATTCCTGAAAATAAATTAAAGACAAGAAGGGGTGGGGGGATTTTGGGGGTTGAAAAATACCCTACAGAATCTGAAATTTATGCAGACTCCTTACTTTTTCTATGAATGCATATAATCTCTTATTCCTTTTAAAAGAATTAGCTAGTTTTAGGTTTTAATTTCATGTCATAACCATTTTTCCAGTATTATTCTGACCAGTCAACCTTTATAACAGGCTGTTCTTCCAAAATATGACTACCGCAATAAAAATGAAAAAGAAATTAATCTTATTTTTGTGAACAGTAAATTTAACAAAATACACTCATTTTAAATTACATTGTTTGATTAAGTGTAGATTAAAGACTTGTTTCTCTCTTGACAAAGGATATAAGTCTTATTTGTCAGTGCAGATACTTTAAATGTATGTTGCTGCAGAACATGGAACACAAACCTCCTGAGCTCACAGTTTCAGAGGACAGTGCAATCTTGGTGACTTCACATATATTCATGTATCTATGGTCAAATGGTATCTCACACAGGAAAACTAAATTGAGACACGTGTCCCATAATAATGCACAACGACTTAAGTTTCAGTTGAAAGAGCCAAGTTTCACATTAAAGTCCAAGCCTATCATCACTAGGTGTGGCGAGAGGAGCTTACACAGGCACATCTCTTGTTACGGAGCACTGCAAACAACTTAAAGCACGATGGCAACCTGTCCTCTGCAGCCACCTAAGTGTGTGCAGCACAGATTAGTTCATTATACAGGCATTTGATTTGCACAGGCTTTGGCCTGCAAAGCCATGCCATAATGTCATATTCTTATATACTGTGATGTGTGAATTACACCAGCATTACAGGTGAAGACACTGCCTAGTGACTTGATAGAGGGACAGCCAAAGTAAAAATCAGTTCTGTTTGTTAAATGCAAATTAATCTGCGTCTTTTTTCCTCTTCTAATATTGAAAACAGAAGCTTATATATTAATGATCAAAATGATACCTATTTCTTTGATTTCCTGGTTCAGTGTTCTTTTTTTGTACCATTAATTTGCATCCAAAAAAGGCAGTGACAGCTTTAACATTTTCTGAATTGATGTGCAGGAGTGCTGTGTTCCTACTAGTACAGGCTAGACAGAGCCACTAGTCTGTGGTTTCACACCACTCTTCTGCATTTATTTCATTTCACCCTTGGCAAAGTAGTCTTAAGATGTCTTAAACCCTCTATGCTTTACCTGTCTAGCGAGATACTTCAGAATATACATTTACTCAGTTTGTCCTGTAATACTGACCATCAGGCCCACTGAAAATTTCAGAGGGTATGTATCACTTTTCAGACTATTAATATGATAAACCCCATTATTTTACCATAGTCCTTACATGACTGTTGCTTTGATGTACAGCTACAAAGAAGTACAGTCATGGAGCTTTTGTAAACATACTTTCCTAACCAAAGTGCGTCATTTGCAATACCTGTCATATGTAAGCTACGTGCTTTTAGTCGTTGAACTGTATCGATCTGTTGGGTAATCCAGTAACTTGTTCTTCAAACGCCCAATAAAAAGGCTGGAGCTGATGTTAACAAAATAGTACTTTTAAAATATAGTAACTTTTTAGAGTACTTTTCAAAGCCAGTGAGAGACCTGTCTTGTAACAGTGTTAATTCTTCAAACATTACTAAGCTTTTTATTTTTCTTATAAACATCTAAAAATAAATACACAATCATTAATTTTGAAATTGCATTCTGCTGGTTTTGGCTGGCATAGAGTTAATTTTCTTCACAGCAGCTGGCATGGAGCTGCATTTTGAATTTGTGCTGGAAACAGTGGGTAACACAGGGATGTTTTTGTTGAGCAGTGCTTACACAGAGTCAAAACTTTCTCTGCTCCTCACCGAACCAGTGAGCAGGCCGGGGGTGCACAAGAAGGGACCCCACACTGGAGCAGGGGAAGAGTGGGAGGGTTCTTCCCACCCAATGAGAAAGGAGCCATTCCCCATTTGTCAATGCTGCTCGAGGGGGGAGAAGGTAGAGAATTCGGAGTAAAGTTAAGCCTGAGAAGAAGAGAAGGGCATGGGGAGGATGTTTTAAGATTTGGGTTTTATTTCACATTATCCTGCTCTGATATGATTGGTAATAAATTAATCTATTCCCCTCGCCCCCCCAAACTTTTTTTTGCCTTTGACAGCAGTGTGTGAATGATCTCTCCCTATCCTTACCCAGTTCAAACAATTTTTCACAGATTATCTGAAGACTGAAACTTCATATGCTTGTAAAGTTCTCACATGCTTGTAAAACATTCTCTTGCAAAGCAGCAAACCAGTTTTATAACCCCCCAGGTAATCACAGCAATCAGCTACAAATAAAAGGAAAGAGACACTAAGATATATTTCAGTTTCCCTTCACCTGACTATTGAGTAAGATATAAAGAAACTAATGAATTCAAGGTTATATTTATAATAAGCAGCCAAAATGTCAAATAAAATAGACAAAAATCACTCACATGTTAAAAAAAGGGCAAACATCACATTCAAGATTCTGTCCTTTCTAAATAGCATCTGCTGTGTGCATCTTCAGGGAAAATCCCACTAAACAGGACAGGATGCTGCAACAGCAATCTGACTTGTCACCAAAACTGAGTGTTGCTGATGTGTTTTTTACTGGGACATACGGCACCATTGATCATGAAATCAAAACCAGTGCATAACTGCAATGAAAATGGTACATGAAAGTGTTTCTTAATGAGGATAAGTTATTTGAATGTCACAGAAACACCAATCTAAGATGTCACAATACCAGGAGCAAGGTGTAAGACCCAGAACACTTACTGAAAATTCCAAGCTGTATATTAACTAAGTTTCAGCACAGAAATAAACCCAGACTCTTGATTTGTAGAAGTGTTGTGTGTTACACTCTTGGAAACATTAAAATGACAGCTTGGCAAGTGTTCCCATGAATTCTTCACATGCCTAAAGAATAAACAAAACCCTAAAAATATTTAATTGCATTAATTCCCACAGTCAATCATTTGGTGTAAACATGTAAGACAGTTCCTAACCCACAGGTATTTTGATTCTTGGCTGTTTGGAATTTCCACATTATTATCATTCACCAGTGACTATGAAGTTCAAATACATACTGTTAGTAGTGTCTCTGTGTTCCAACTCCCAGTGGACAGCAGCAGTCCAGTTGTAAGTGCAATGTTTTTCTCAGTCACAGAAGTCTTCCTCAGTAGCTACTTAAGTAGTACCAAGATTAACCACTTCTCAAAACAGAAGAATTAGCACATGAACACAACTACTAAAAGGTGGGAGGCATTAAAAATATGTTGGACAACATCAGCCATCACTCCAAGCAGAAGTGAGCACAGCTGTGCTAGCAGGGAGGATGAACTCCAAGTCTCCTGTCAGAACTCGAGTCTCCACATGACCAGTACCAGACCGAATGGATCATGCTGTATCAGAGGAGCAGGGGATTAGCTACTGTAATGTTTATTGCAATAATTGATAGCAAGGCTTCTGCAGTATTTCTTCCAACTGCAGAAGGCATGCAACTTTAACTTCTGACTCATGTTAAGTAGCCCTAGGCCTCAGCTTCATCACTGCTCACTTTAAGCAGGACAGAACTTGTTTACTGCTTGAGGAGCTGAAGGTCTTGGCCTTTAAGAGTTTGCTCTTTACAGGTATATAAAGACCACAGGGTTCTAATTCACTTCTATTGCTAGGCAATAGCTCCTTACCCGGATCCCCAGCTCTGAAGTTCAGGACTTTATTATAGGCCACTTTTAACCATGAAGCTATACAGCTTTAATGTAACTTAAGGCCACAGTCATGTGCTTCGAGTTTTACAGTATGCACACTTCTGTAATACAAAGATTAAAGATGAGGCTGAGCACACCCAAGTACCAGATTTTACATTGCCACCCTTCTTTTGATCTTAATCATACAATTACAAGCTGATGTAGCTTGAATAGCATATGTATAGTGGGAGAGACTAGGGACTAGCATATATCCAAGGAAGTTTGCTTTCAGAAAGGCCTGCCTTCCACGCCTGTAAAGTGTGGAAACTGCGTACTGATTCCCAGAAATTTAGCATAAAGTCACAGTTCTGACCTGGGCTGCAGAAATTACTAACTTGACACATAAAAATACGTAACACACACACAAAAATATGCCCAGCCTTTGCTAGTCACCTCTATGCTTCATGCTCTGGGCACTGTAGTATTGCTTAACTCTGACAGACTAAGATCAAACCATGTTCCTCTACTTAGCAGCTAAGTTATGACAAGTGTAAAGAGTACTTTACTACTGCAACATGAAAACCATTAATATCCCCGTTCTAATGGAGCTGTAAAAGGCCTCTAGAACTGAGATACCTACAGACAGCTCAGCAGACCAAGCTTTCAGAAGCTCAGCCTCCATTGCTTTCAGGTCTCCTGATGATGATACATAAGAACAGCAGACAGTGTGCTCTTTCCACGAGTTTAATAGAGTTACAAAAGGATACCACTGCTCTATATGCAACACATGTCTAACCACATACACTGCATTGTCACTAAAGTCATTAGGGCTTAATGTACAGATACTGATCATTAAGATTTTCTATGAAGGTACTGTCAACAGGACAAACTTTCCTTCAAGTAAAAAAAAGTTACTGCTTAAACCTATAGCATGATCCCTTGACTCAGATGCAATGACTTAGTCAAAGTTCAGTAACTGATGCTTGCTCCTTATGTAAGGCATACTAGTTTCCATGCAGACTGGAGATTTATTTCTGCTTGGAGAAATACTCTTTACTTTTGTGAACATCAGGCTTGATTGTATCACTGCCAGGCTTCCAGCCAGCTGGGCACACTGAAATGACAAAGAATGTTTTAAGTCTTACCAGCTGCTCTTGCAGAACATGTTTTACATAATATGAATGCAAATTAGCAACTCAAAACATCTATACATCTTCACAACATACACAAGGTGCATTATTCAGTGTGGCATTATGTTCAGTTTATTTTACTCATTTCCATTTCTTCACTAGGTAGTAGCACCCAAGGAACCTGGTGTTTGCCCATGCCAACAGTGTGCCCTTTACACATGCACCCCTCCACACCCTGCTTAAAAGCTACACAGAAGCTTGACAGCAAGGTCACACCAACTCCAGCAGCCTGGATGAGAAAGGCTTTATAAGGATTACATTCACTTCTCTGCTCAGACCCAGTCAAGTCTATATTCTCCTTAAGTCAACCTTAGTTATATCCTCCAGTTTAATGGGAAGGGGGAGGAAGAGTTAAAACTCTCTCTTAGTTCCACCATATGGCTAACAAAAAGATACCAAGATGCAAAGGTTGCATGGCCTGAAAATTACAGCAACTCCTGAGCAGTATTTTTTGGACATTGTTTTCCTCCTCTACAGCCATGCAAGGCTTGGTGCTTGCTCCACACAATACCAGCAGTCTTAGCTATAGTACTCTCAGCTTCTGAGTGTTGCTCCACACCTTATTCTGTCTATCCTGGTTTAGATGAGACTGCAGTACTAGTTCTGGAGGAAAATCATTTGCCAGCTTTTGACTACTCCAGGGCACAATAAACCCTAAAAGGCTCTGTTTGCATGACATGTGACTGCTCCATCATGAAATATTAGGAACCTGTCCTCAGCTGACAGAGGATGGCATTCAAGTTCAGAAACACCAGATCTCTTCAGGCTAGAACCTAGCCACAACCGCAGCTTGTTTTAGTAAAATCTACCATTGAACTACCAGTTCTGAAGCAAGTTACATGTGACTAGCAGCAACTAACTAACTAATGACAGCTAAAGACCTTTAATACCTACATAGCAATTCTGAGTTTCCATAACTTGGTTCAAAACTTTGATCTGCAGTGCCTTTTTATTCAATACCTGCAGAAAAGCTACCAGCCTGAAGCACATGATCATTCCTGAACTACGGGCACAAAGACTCCATTTTCCCCTCACTATATTGAGTCCATGTGTAGTGGGACAAAAAAAAAAAAAAAAAAAAAAAAAAAAAAAAAAAAAGAAAATCAGCAGCCTTCCTGGGAATTCAAAGGCTTTATCTAACAGACTACATAAAACATCACACTAATACTAATGGTCTCAACCTATCAAATCTGAGAGCAGAGTCTAAATTATGCTTACTCTTGCAGGGTAAGTTATTACATGTTCTTCATTTCTGTTTCAAGTATTTTGTGTTTAATTGAAAGACAGACAACTGCTATGTGCTCAGCAAGACATACAGCACCAAACTGATTTAAGTGACATTTCACCATATACTCAATGGACAACTAAGTGAAATAGGACAAATGGGAGTCCTGTCAAATAGGACAAAAGGACACTATGGTGTCCTTCAACAAGTAGCTTTACAGAACCAGCTGCATTTCAGATTGATTGCTACATTTACTTAATACCCATAACTGATACATGTACATAGTACTTTTCAGTAAACCTTGATTTAACCTGGTTAGCTAATACTATGCTTTAAAAAAAACACACTTAAGAGGAGGAAATCTTACCTTCTCCATGCTTATCTGTAAACTGGAAGGCCTGGACAAGCCTGAGGGTTTCATCAACAGAACGGCCAACAGGAAGATCATTGATTGTTATCTGCCTCAAGATCCCCTTCTCATCAATTATGAACAGGCCCCTAACAAAAACAAAAACACACACACAAAAAGCCCAGTCCTAAAGTTAAACACAGCTTTTCAAAGACTGAAGTTCAGCATTCTACTATGGCAGTAAGTTGTGACATCTGTATTACTAACCTCTGCCTAAAAACTAAAGCCTTTGGTGCATGCATAGCACTGGAATGTTAGCATCAGGAACTAAGAGGAACAGAAGCCAAGTCAAAACACACAGGAAAGCAGTACTTCTTATTTAAGGAAGATACAGGCAGAGAAACAAAGTGGAAGAGAAGCCCAAAGAAAAGAGCAAAGGAGAGGCATTCTTACATACAAAGAAAAACTACACACACAGTTCTCAAAAAACCCAACCCAGCAATGGCTCATCATTTATTCCTCCAAAATCATGTTAAGAATTAGAGGAAGTTCAGCTCCCTTTAAGGAGAAACTTTAAAGGAACAGTCAACTACAGGACACAGATTAATTGAAATCCAGGTTGTACTTTAACTACTAAATACCTGTAATCACTGCCTTGACTATGTAGGTCTCACATTACCAATGTCTGCAGAAGCTCATCTGCATGAGACTCTTGCATTGTGCAGATCAGTAAACCAAGGGAAGCAGCAGCCATTTCTTCTGCTTACCAAAACCATGAAGAGTCTAAACACTGAGGAGAACTAAGCAGCATTCCCCCTTGTAGGGGTGTTTGACAGTCTGAAGCAGTTTACATCTATAATAGCTAATAGCTTCAGCTTGCTGTAAGTGTACAAATATACACAAGCTGCATTCACCTGACATGCTCTATTGCAACATAGAACTTTAACAGCAAGTTTACCTTTTGTACCTTACCTGTATGCAATACCTTCATCCTCTTTAAGTACCCCATATTGTTTGGCAATGGCACGGTTTGTGTCTGAAATCAATGGGATTTTCATAGTACCCAAGCCTCCCTGTTTCTTTGGAGTGTTGATCCTAAAAAAAGGCAGTTCAAATGTTAAAAATACTTCATTCTAAACTGTTCCTATAAGGTACAACAGAAGCTGATCCTTTCCACAATATCATACTTGGCCTGCCATGAGGCAAGAGAAGACCTGAGCAGTATCCTCAATTCTGTTCAGAAGCACCTGGTGCTACCCACACTTCAAGTGCCTTTGATATTTTGGTAAGCTACTTTCAATATGCTCAGGATTCAGTTCCTGCAAGAACTGAGACCAGACAGAAGATTCTGTTAGGTTAAGATGCCAATTCTTACCAGGCCAGGTGACAAAAGTGAGAGTCAACAGAAGCTCCAATTACTTCACAGTTAATTTTCTTGAATTCGTCAGCTCTGTCACTGTATGCAATAATTTCAGTTGGACAGACAAAAGTGAAGTCCAGGGGGTAGAAGAAGAACACAACGTATTTTCCTAAAAGAACAGTATAGCCAGTTAATCTCTCCTACCTTTACAAGAGTTGTCATATTCAGTATCAACCATTCAAATACTGGTAGAAAAGAAAGGGCTTGATACAACACTACCTTTAAAGATCAAACGGAAAACTACAGATGTCTCTATTTTAAGACTTGCTATATAGATGGCAAGCCCATAAAGCACCTCAGGGGATTTGTATTTCAGCCAAATACCATTTACAACAGTCTTCAAGGCCACTCTACAGCTAATAACAAAGAACCCAACTCAGTCTCCAAAACCGGTCTCTCAAATTTG